CCCGACCCCATGTCCCCTGCATCGGCAGGCGGACTCTCAACCACTGCGCCACCAGGGAAGCCCTGAACCTTTTTCTTTTTTTTTTTTTTTTTTTGCGGTACGCGGGCCTCTCACTGTCGTGGCCTCTCCTGTTGGAGAGCACAGGCTGTGGACACGCAGGCTCAGCGGCCATGGCTCACGGGCCCAGCCGCTCCGCGGCACATGGGATCCTCCCGGACCGGGGCCCGACCCCATGTCCCCTGCATCGGCAGGCGGACTCTCAACCACTGCGCCACCAGGGAAGCCCTGAACCTTTTTCTTTTTTGGCTTAATTCTGACCTGTCTTTCTTTGGCCCTGCTGTAACTCTGAAGGCCTTCAGGAGCTCTCCTGTGTCTCCTGGCCCTGCACTCTGCTCCCCGCACCTTGTACTTCCCGTCCCCTGGCCTTTTGACAGTCCTTAGCTGTCAGTAACCCGGCTTTTTCTACCTTCTCAGCAACTGGGAACGTGATAAAAATCCATGCTGATTGCCGTCTGCAACCAATGCACACCATCAAATCTCAGCTGAGCCAATTACACTGTGTTTAGCGATTTTATTTTTCTCTTTTTGACTATCTGTTCTGTTTTTCAGATTCCCCCTCACATCTCAGGGTTTCTCTGCCTTGAAGGACTGTTTCATACAATCATATTTATCTCTGTTTCAAAACCTTAATGTTGCTGCTTCAGCAGTTTCCTTTTGCCCGCATTACCTCCACACTGTTCCCCCAGTTCACAAGCACAGCCTGTTTCTCACATGGATGGATCATGTGTGTGTGTGGAGTGTGTGCACATATACCCCACCTAAGGCTTTGCTGTTGTCTCTCTCCTTTTCTTTGGCGCTAGAGAAGCGTGGGCCCCATGCATGCTCACGTTTACTCCACCCAGCCTCCAGAAGCTAACCCCAGCGAGCTCTGACATAACAGAGTGTCACGTCACTTTGGTCACTTGTGGTATTTGTTAATGTGCATGTAATATACAAAGTCATTATTTATGATCGCCTTTTCATCTCTCCCTTTAGTATTCTCAGTCGCTGCCGTTACTTCAATTGTCATGTCTATTCAGGTGATTCCCAAATGTTTACTTCTGCCATTTTAAGGACCATATTTTCAACTACTTGTAGAGGGTTCTCTCCAACTTCAGCTTCAGCGCCCCAACTTGACTCACGTTTTCCTTGTTAGCTGCCTCCTGCTCTGCCACTTGTGCTCTTTCTGCACGATGGGTATCCGCACACACGCTGACACACACACACCCTTCCCCGGCGCTTCCTCATGCCCATCTCTTCCTATTGATGGCACAGCCTCGTCCATGTCTTCTAGGGCAGAAGCCTCGTTACTTTTTACTCCGTTTTTTTTTTTAACTGCCACATTTAATTTTTGCTGAATCGATGTATGTTTGGTTTTTAGAACATCGCTTGACTACATTTTCTCTTCAGTTGCACTAATTCAGTCCTAATTCAGGACCTCATTGCCTATGACCTGATGTCCTTTCTGCAACC